CACAAGTCATGCGTCGACTCACTGGGTTGCCGCCTGGGCAATTTGAACTCAGCGGTCATTCGCCTTTCGATTGTTAACCCGTCTGGTGGCCCACATGGGACATTTGGTCCAAACTCGGTCTTTGTCGGCGCATTACTTGATCGGATGAGTGGGATAACCATCTCATCGGGTAGCTTGACCGACGGGTTGTACAGATCCAGACGGACCCCAGCTGGGATCATGAAGTCAGTTCCAAGAATGAAATCGACTCCGGCATGATGAGGCATTATGTGGTGTAGGGATTTCCAGATTCGACCATACGTCAACCTACTTTAGACCAAGAATCGGCTCAGTCTGATAACCCAGAGCTTAGGAACGATGGATCACGGTTAGTACTCAGCGATCTGTCCGGATGATGCTATCCGGATAGCCGCTGAGCTCAACGGTCGCCTGAACCCAGTGGAAGGGTCGGTAGAGATTCGAAACGACTACATTTCACTCGATATTTGTGTGAGAAGCATAATATTAAATCGGGGGAGCCGAAAGGGCTCGCAGAAGATAACATAGCAGAATTTTCCTTGTCCAAGACACGTGTACACTCTTCCGGTAAGTCCCTGAATAGGGCTGGATTACGCCTGCCGTTGATACCCGAGAGGCATAGCTTGTATGGTATTGGCTGGTAGCGCCAAGAGATTAGGTCGGTCCGGGTAGGACAAAGTCTCGCTACGCGCGAAAGAAAGCCCCGCATACTCAGCGGGCCCGTACGTCGGATAGCACGGGTGCCGTAACACTTCTAGCTGAGCAGCCTCTGCGCTCGGCGACCTGTACAAGCGCTCGCGCGCCGTCATCCATCCTTTGGTGGAGGGGACAGGGTTTGTGTACGAGCTCTGCCGAGGTAAACTCGGTGGAGCCCCGGAAGTGCTCTGACTTAGTTAGTCGGAACTCAGTGGAAGCGAGCCACTCGTCTGTCCCGGCTTGGCCGAGCCGCGAGGGGGCCACCCTCTGCGCAGGCCATACAAGCGCCGACCTAACTCGGCGATTTGGTGTGGTTTGTGTAAGGAATCCACATCTGACGGTATTGTGTGTTCTACTACACCACTACACCGTCGAGTCTCTTGCAAATTGGAGTCAGCGTACATCATGTGACCGGGTGTTCATCGCTTGAGCATCTTGACGGCTCCGCATCTTTGTTGACGGACGATTATCCGCAACTCTGGAGAAATCACTACATCATACTGATCCTCACAACGTGATCTTCCGCTCAGCTCAGAACGCGAGCCCCGCTTCCTCCACTTGCTTGCCAAACGCTAAGACCCGATTGCGATAGCCCTACGCTGTGGTTCCGAGCTCGAGCCCATCGTTCAATAAGGGTTTAATGAAGGCCACAAGCAGCTTGGTTTGGACTTCTGCTGTTTCGACATGGGGCCTGTCACATCCACAGAGAACCACGAAACGTGAAAGTGGGTGGCCGAAGATCTGCGATGCTATTTCTTGGGTTTGCTAACCGCTTCGTCTGCATCCTCGTGATGCTGGCGCTTGTTTGTAGATTGTACTGGATCATTGTTTAGCTTGGCCTCGAGCGCATCCTGCTCGCTGGATTCTTCGGTTTGCTTCGTGTCGTTGCGAGGTCGCTGGCTCGTTTGTATTGTTGCTAGGCTTGTCACAGGTCGAAGCCGCAGAAGCCAAGTGCGACGGCCAGCTCAGGAGCTCCGTAAGAGCGTCTCCACTGTGAAGGACGCTTGCTTCGACACGCTGGACCGCTGGAGCGTCAGGGCTGAGCCTATTCCGTAGTGGATACTGTCGGCGAATACAAGCGGTAAGCACATCGTACGGGCTTATTGGCGTTGTGGCTTGCTGTCCCTAGATTTTGCCATGTGGGTAAAAGTAAACGCTAAGCTGAGTCAACGTCTGGGAGTCGAAGATCTTCAGCTTCTGGAGAGCCACCGTCGCGTCTGCATCTTGACAGCTGAGTATCTTGCTGATCTTGTGATCCTCTGCACTGGTAGTAAATTTATAGTTGAGGTCTTTGTTTGTTGTTTCATGCTCCAGATGCCGCGATCGAAGATCCAACCCGCCGTGAGCTGACCGCAGGCGTTCGCGTGCTGAGTCCCTCCCCGTCAAAACGAATGCGACGTTAGAGCAGCCACGACACCGGCCGACTTAACGATGCGGTCCAGCACGCGGTTGACGTGAGCGTAGATGGTTGGGGTCGTGTCCAGGCCAGTGGTGTTCGGGGCTTCGAGGCCTTGCGTAGGCTTCGGATGGTCCAGCATTTCCAACAGCGGTACATCCGGTGACAGGTCGATGGTTGCGTGTCTCGGCAGATTACGCAAGCTGCGACGACGTGTGAGGACGGCGCTGCCTGCACGACAAAGGCCAGTGGCAAACAGGGGGCACGTGGCGAAGTCCGGGTCTGGGAAGAGGGACATACCCTGCTCTTCGGACGTCTTCATACGGATGAAGCGCACGCATAGCACCTTGGCTACGTCGATGGACAAGTTATGCTTCCTGAGCAGTGCGAGGTCAGACGCTCGGCCAAACAAGTACCTAGCAGGGAGAGTAAGGCTGCATCATGATAATCACTTTGAACAACAAGCGTTAAAAAACAATTACACAACCATTCTTTTCAAGTCACTCTTTGAGCACGGCGGCGCTTTAGTGATGAAGCCACCACCATCTCTCTTCACACAAAAGTTGTCAAGTGTTCTTCTCATTTTAATCAGCCGAGACTCAAATGATGCTCGATGTTGCGGAAATTGTTAGAGTAGCCATAGCTTAGCTTGCCGATAGTATTGCATCGAAGTGATTCGAGCAAAGGGCTTGCCCTTTTTGCCCTCGTCAAATGCAAGATGCATACCAAACATTACAGATGCGAGACACTTCCCAGTTTCGTCACGTTCAATGCAAGTTTGTACATATTCGTCACTTTCATTTTTCGTTTTTAAGAACTTTTTAAAACTTGCCACTGTCGTAGCCTTGTGCTAGTTCTTCTAGCCCCATGGCACTTTTTTGTCAGATAAAAGCAGTTTATGCAAGTGATACGCTGCTGGCTTATTTAACTTATGACGATACACATTTTTTTGGCAAAAAACCCCGACCCAATACGTCGGAACGGCTGGCTTACATGACTTACCTAACCTCGTTGAGCATTATTGGTCAAAACTACACGCTAAGTCAATGTGACTGGACAATTCTGTGTGTAGTGAAGGGGATGGGCTATTTCTATGCATACAAAAATCAAGTTTAGTCGAATACATTGTCATATCCAACCATAGCTGCGTAACCACCATCCATACAAATGTCGTATGTGTGGGCTATCTACTACCATTGCCATTCATTATACTTGAATTGGGTATGGTCTTGGGTGGTCGATTTATTTGGCCAATTGCAGTGCGATTAGAACGCCGTTTAGACCCCCCCAGCATTTCTACCAATCAAAGCTCTGACATAAATCACAAACGCTAAAAATTAATCGAGCCGGCCACCAACGTTGGTGGCCGATCTTACCTAGCCCGGAGTGTAATACCTTAGTCTTTCGCAGTAGGGGCCGACAAGAGTGTTCACACACAAGTGCTATGGATAAGCTAAGCTTACTAAAAAAAAAGATTCTCGACCCACGGGTTGCTATCAATGAATATGCATAATATTGGCGTCGATTGCCCAGTGGACAATGCCCACCGTAGTTTGACGAGAGCAGCGAAATTCGTCGGCAGATTGGTCTTTCTTAATGGTTGGTGGCGAGTCTCCGAGATAGCGACATCAATGCTTGCTTTTGAAAGCTTCGCAAGATTTCTTCACAGCCCAATGCGGAGTCTGTACGGTGTTATAGCTTTGAAGTATTAATAGTACATGTATTATAATATAATGTAATGCATATATTAATATTATTAATACATGTATTACATTGTCGATAGGATGTACATGTACATGTATTTCAGTGCAGGTCCCATCTGCACCGATATTTTAGAAAGAAACAAGGCGTTTGAAATGTAAATATTAACTAGCTTACATACATATGCCCTATGCTTCTCCGACCTTGTTTGTAAGTGTTTGGCTGTCATAATTCTCTGTGCTAAAGTGGCGTTAGAAGTTGCTTCTCGGTGGAGTCCACGCTGAAATTTAGACACGTATCATAGTCAGTGGCTCATGCCATCATGAGTCATGGCTGCTACAATAGCCACGAGCTCACCTGCCTATACGGACCCATCCGGGTTATTAACCAGAACTGATTGTGGCGAAGTTAAATTTTGTACTGGTCAGATTGAAGTGCTAGTCTAAACATTCTGGAGTCTATTTTGTTTAGACGAGCACTTCAATGCAGATGGCCGCAGTGTGAGACCCCGCCAAAGCCTTTGGCAAAGGAGATCGGCGATCGGATTCCGGAGGACAGTCGGAACCCCATCACTGACATGAAACTGAAGCAGTAACAACCGATTACCGGTAGGCATTTATCTTAACGCCCAGCCACTCAATAAGTATTACTGTACTGGTACACTCCACTTTTAATTAAGCTAATGTTATAAAATAAATTTGCTAATAAAAAATAAAAATAAGGCTAACGTCGTCAAGAACAGCCCGCTTTTCAACATTGGTCAAGCAGTCACTCGCAATCCAGAGAAACGCAGAGCAATACGGCGCCCAAGCGCGGTGCGACGTCCGTGTCAAGGGACCATGCATTAATAAACTGCTTGTTGAGAATGTGATGCAATTTGTACCGGTGCGCTGCATCCTAACATCTCGCTGAGGCCCCTTCTCATGTCATGTAAATTGGAACGTTTTTGCACGTCTTGACATCCGTATACTTCTAGCGTCGTATCCAGAGCAACCTCAGCTTGATTCTTTATTAATAATGATTCTTTAACTTTTTCGAGGCTTTTTCGTTGGCCGTGCTGCGTGCACGGACAAGGGAGCAGCCAAGACAAGTGCCTCGTTTCGGACCAGCTCGCTCGTTCGCAGCGGACCGACCGACAGACAACTATCGCTCACTTTCAAATTGGCTGCCAACCTCTCAGCTCGACACCATGGCCAAGCAACCGTTTTTCACGTTCGAGGACGCCAAGTTCTCCTTCAGCCTGTTTTGTTGCATGTGCGGCGTCGGTACGCTAAGTATGCCGGCAAACTTCGCTCGTGCTGGGCCGGTTTTGGGGTTCTGCGCTACAGTTTTCATGGCTTTTGCAAATATCTACTCCTCGGTTGCCTTGTCCAAGGTGCTTCTGCTCGCCCCCAACTCCGTCAACACCTTCAGCGATCTCGGTGAATGGTGCATGGGAAAGACTGGACGATGGTTGTGCGTCGTCTCACAGATGGGTTCCTGCTTACTCATGCCGTGTGTGTTCTTGGTGCTAGGCGGCGGCCTGCTCGACGGTCTGTTCCCCAATGCATGGGACACAACGACGTGGATCATCCTCATGACCATTACCGTACTGCCGCTTGCTCTGGTGCCCACCCTAAAGGAGGGTGCTGGTGCCGCTTTCGCCGGTTGCATGGGAACGCTTATTGCCGATGCTCTGGGTATTGCAATCGTGGCCCACGGCATGCGCGACCACCCGGCCGTGCCTTCTCCCGAGCTGAGTCTGTCCCAGGTCGCCGGTGCGTTCGGCAGTCTCGCTATGGGCTTCGGTGCCGGCATTGTCCTTTCGGATGTGCAGCGGCAGCACAGCGACCCGAGCCGCATGCCCCGTGTTGTCACCGTCACCATGGTCTTCATTATGTGCATGCTGCTGATTCTTGGATTCGTGCCGTACTTCTCGGTCGGTTGCCAGGTGTCAGGCAACCTGTTGTACGTCATCTACCCAGACGCTGCGACCGGCCTCACCACCTTGGGTTTCGCTCCTAAGTGGGGTACCGTTGTGCTGGCGTATCTAGCCATGCAGATGCACGTGACCATAGCTTTCTCCGTTCTGATCAACCCGGCCTTCTACATCGCCGAGCGTCTGGTACTCGGCATGCACAAGAAGGTAGCGGAGGACATTGAAAACTGTGCGGGTTACCAGGAGTCTGCCACACCTATGGACTTGCTGAAAGGATGTTAGCGCGACGTCCAGTCGCCGTTCGCGGACGTCCGTGTTCCCTCTTACGGGGGAGGTTAACAACAACCACGAGCTCGAGGCTGCAGAGTACCGTGGCGCCAACGCGATCAAGTACATCGTACTCCGTCTCTGTATTATCGTTGTACTGGTGATTCTGTCCATTATCTTTAAGGACCACTTCTCGGACTTTGTCGACTTTGTGGGCGCCTCGGCTATCACGGCGAACTGCATCGTCCTGCCGACGATCTTCTACCTCATCAAGACGTGGGAACATGTCCCGATCTACGAGAAGTTCGGTGCTGGTGTTGTCATTGTTGTGTGTACTGTGCTTGGCTGCTACTCGACTTACACCGCCAGCAAAAACCTGTTTGCTCCGTCCGACTCGGACACACTGTTCCCGTACTGTGATGCCAAGTTCCAGGACACTGTGTTCTACAACCAAACAGCCGTGTCATCTTAGCTACAGTACATCAGCGGATCGCTGCAGACAATAAAAATAAAACGAGACGTTTTACTGTGGTAATACTTACCGGTTTATATCAATAATGTAAGTACAGTACTGTAGTACGAAGTAGTAGTACAATACGCTTACATTTATTCTGGAATCGCTAGCATGTACTACGTACTATTATACTACATGTACTTCTTTAGTAGTAGTAAAAAAACCACTGCAGTTTAATTTTTTTTGCATGAATTACTATAGAATGGACTGGATTGACTTGAAGTATTATGAGCAGATGACCACTTCGGTAGTAGTCCCTCTGCTCATGGAATACCCCCCGACAAGAATTAAAAATCGTTTCCCGAAGTATTGTAGCACACAAGTCTAAGAAAAAATATCTCTCACCCCTCCCTCGAATATGGGATTCGAATTACGCAAAATGACTGCTCTGAGGTGCTTAACTATGAGAAAGTCACTATTGTGCACCATGTGCAAAGTAGGCCTGATCGCGCAAGACGTCATCTCTGTCGCTCGACGCCTTCGACAACAAAAGAACACTCGCCTCGCACTACTTCTCTTTGCACTGACGTGGCGACGACCAAGGAAGCCGAGAGTGTCACGGCAGCGGGTCGATGTGGACTATGAAGTCGAGATGTTACTAAATGAAAACATGTTTGAACGGACATTTCGCATGTCTGCGGAAAGTTTTAGTCATTTACTGTGGAAAGTTACACCAGCCCTCACTGTATCCGAGCAGCAATCCAGTAATTCGAGTGGCGAAGCACCCGTTTCGCCTTCGATAATGCTGATGACGGCGTTGCGATACCTGGCTGAGGGATCATACCTTAATATACGTCGTACGGTTGGCATCAGTGCGCCCTCGTACTATCGTGTGATCGATCTGACAATGGGTGCGATTCTTGCTTTTAAGGAGCTTCAGATAACTTTCCCCAATTCGGACTCAGAGAAAGGGGTGGTGATGGAGGCGTTTAAGAACATTAGCAGTGGTGGTGTAATCAGTGGTTGCATTGGCTGTGTTGATGGCTGGCTTTGTCGTATAAAGACACCAACCCTTGCTGATGCTGGCGAAATCGGTGTGGCTCGCTACTATAGTGGTCATTACGCTTGCCCTGGTATTAATGTACAAGCCGTTTGTGATGCACACTGTCGGTTTATTGCATTCGAGGCTAGTTTTCCAGGTAGCATTAATGATGCCCATGCATTTCGTGACACTGGTGTCTCCAGGGCACTGAATATGCTTCCTACTGGGATGTACATCATTGGAGACAATGCTTACTCTGTAGGTGAGCATTTACTCACGCCGTTTTCTCGCACCCTGATAATGGATGAATATCATGACTCGTTCAACTTTCACCTAAGTCAATTGAGAATTCGGATCGAGATGGCATTCGGACTTCTAACGACGAAGTAGAGGGTTTTCAGGCTTCCAATAGAGCGTAACTTAGTGAACGCCACAAAGGCCATTTACACCGCTATGGTACTCCACAACTACGTTATCAACAGGCGCATGGCCACCGACAACGAATATTGCAATTTTGATGAGACTATTCGACCGCTTCGGGTACCAAGCCGAACTTGAAAGCTCAATGATGTTTCCAATCTGAAGGGTTACATGTCGAGCGATCTTCGAGTCGAAGAAGGACGCAGCAGTATGAGGGACTTCACTGTGGAAACACTTCGAGCGAATCAATCCACTAGACCCCAGTATAACAAACGTCGCAACGCTGTGTAGTTCGTATACATGTACTGGATCAATTAGTATTTTAACAGCTCCTTCATTTTTTCTCCAACATACCTCTACTCGGCCGACTGGCCTTTTAACAACGCTTTTTTCTTAGCTCGAATATGTGCAATATCATCGTTGACTTCTTGAAGATCATCTTTAGTGTAGCTGCCGTCAGGTGTGTTCATAATCCGCTCTCGTAGTGAGAGCAGAGAGCTCAACGTGGAGACACGCTGAGTAAAGCGGCAGTCTATCTCCAATGCAGCAGAGTTGTTGCTACTCCGGGTCGTCTCCAACATTTCTGACACCATATCAGCTTTGCTAGGGCTGGACCTGGATCGGGTGCACTTCTTCTTAGACTCTCTTAAACTCTCGCTTTCGCTGTCACTGCTTATATTCACTGTTTGCAGCCGGGCGCGTTTAGGAAGCTTGCCTTCTACAGTCTCTAATACCCCGGACTTGATGCTTAGCCACTCGTGCATGTACAGAACGTCGATCTTCCCGGAACAAAAAGAGAAAAAGTCGTTGTCGTGTGTACCTGACTCGAGGGAGTTAGCAAGAGCTGTATTGTATCGACTACTGACGTCCTTCCACATATCGCGAAGTTTTGCTGCCTCATGAGGTACACTGATGGCTGGGTTGCACTTGGCAAACATGGCGAGCGTCGAATTGAGTTTGCCGTATTCAGCTTGATCGCTAAGATAGGTGTCATGAAAGTCCGTCCAAAATGAGGAGCTGGTATGGGTTTGGTCAGAATCCAGCTCTGCCCGCGTTGGTTTGCCGTCAATTTTATGCACTTGGCCCGCAAAAGTCTCAGAAAACATGACGTTCAGAAGGCGAATCGTGCTGTGGCGAGTACGTCGCTTGATTCCAGCGGCACCTAATGTCTTGGACGGTCCGTCCTCAACTCCAAGTCTCTGCATTTCAGCGAATACACGTTTTTACCGCATGAGCAGCGCCACATACTTAGCCTTGTGGTCGTTGCAGTCAGCACCCTTCTTAACAATGCGAAGCTGCCGCAAGTAACACTCAGTCCGCAGCTGCTTTGCTCCAAACGTCGTCAATTTAGCTTCAGCATCCTCCGGAGTAACAGTCGCGTCAAAGAGGATATTAGCGATGCTGGGCATGGCCTGATAGGTTGCAGCGCTGGATGGCATATTGGACAGTGTACGCTGGAGATCTGAGGCGGTTGTATTCTTAAGTAGAAAAGATGGAGTGAACACGACTGGGTCGTGCAAAGATACTATTCTATACCGTTGCTACCTCTACCTCTGACGTGGTGCACCCCAGCGTGGTGTGTACTCCCTCCATCCACCCTCCGTCCACGGCCACCACCCCTAACTTTCGACGGTGGACGTGGATCTCTGATTCCGTTTTGGTGGCCCCATCCGGTGTCCACCAACATGTGCATCTCTGGGATACTACTGGGCCATTAGAGCCAAACCCACCATTTTCGCTGGCTAACAATGGCCCTTAGCTAGGCATAAAATCTGGTTCCAGACAACCAAAGGGTTCATCAGTATTAAAAGTACAACGTAGTACTAGTACCGAGTGCCGCCGCTACGCGGCGGTAGTTTAGGTTTAGTTCTACTTGATTTTGCCTTCTCGCCTCCTCTACGCTTCGCGTATTTTTTTTTAAAAAAAACATTAAAAAAACGCTAAGTCTCGAAATTTTTAATTTCACTCATTTGGGTCAGCATCATGCTTACCGGATTAAAAATAATTATTCTAATGATCTTTAATCATGATTCTTAGTACAACCTCTTTATTATTGTTGGTTATCACTGTAATCTTCATCTTCCACCCAAAACTACCTGTACTTTAAATAACATTGATACAAACGGTACACAATTCGTTTAGTTTAGCATCGTGCTCGATACGACGGGCCGTTTCTAAGCCATGAAATTTAGATCACATCAACGCAAAAGATAGTAATGGCGTGTTCAGCTTGTACTACTTATTCGCTTGTACTGCATGTTTAATCTTGTAAGTAACTAAAGATTGATCACTTCTCATACCAAACTCAATGAAAGCTAACATATATTCAATTTTGTACATTTTTAATGCATTTAGTGCTCATTTTGTGCCGATTCAGAATGAGTCATTAGACACAATAATCTGTGCCAGTTATAATTAAAGCATTTGGATAATGCGTCGCAAGACACCTTGCTGTTGTTATAGTTGACGGCTATGTTTTTATTTGATAGTGTAACGATGATTCCAGGATGGTTAAACGTCATTTAGGCTCCAAGTTTATTAACTTTTCTTTATGGGGTCTACTTAACCAGCTATAATTAACACCTCTCATGTTTTGTTGTTGTCTTGCCGCTCCATTTAAAATCGTATCCTCCGCCCCTCTCGGCGCACGTCCGCCAGTTAAGTAGTATCGGATTTTGCTGTCTAAACAACTCTTAGAAAACAATAATTTACAGCAGTAACACATATGATTTATTTTTGCTCAATCGAAAACTATCTATCTTTATGGATCAAGTGACAACGTTTATTAGCACTGCGTTATTCTTACGGGCGGTTCTTACGGCCAGCTTCTGTTGTACATGTACTACGATTGTTAGCTCAGTCAGTTACCTCACTCTCAGATAATTAATTAATATTTCTACAACAAAACAGCTGCAGTTATTATAGTCATTGTAACTTGCAGAAGCTATTAAGTACAGAGTATTACGTATATTATAGTATGGCCTCGAAAACACACATTCCTACGTGTACGTTAAGCATAGGAAGCGTCTTTAGAGGCTATTTAACTTGAGCACTCAGATATTAATAGCAACGTCCCATATTAAAATAGTAAATATTAATTATTCAAAAAGTAAATACATCGTAGTATTTAAACGATGCCGCCTTCCGATAAAGGATAGTCTTGTACTAATCTCCATATGTGCTCTGTGAACCACATGATTTTATTGATGTAAGCTACATAATTCAGTTTTAACCAATCAAATCCGCCTTCGCTCCGCTCGGCAGCCAATGAGAACGCAAAAAATCTGAGCGTTTCGTGTGACGGACGGACGGACACCGTGCTAGCATTGACAGTTTAGGACTAGCGTTCTGGGCGCCCGCTCCGCGGACGCTAGGGCATGGTTGGTTGGTTTATAGAGGGTTTGGCCACCTCCGCTGCGCTGCGGTGGCCTTAGAGCTATTACTTAAAGCGAAACTACATATACATATGTATGCTGTGATCTACTTATGTTACGTTCCAAAAAAACACTGCACACAATATCCTTAGTGTTCACATGATATGGAAGACATGCCCAGGTTTTAACGTGATCTGCAAGATGGGCACCATCTTACCCGGGAAGGTTTTGTCTATAATCTAATTTGATCGCGTAGCTCCCAAAATGACGTCAATCGAAGGCGCGCGTGGTTGCAAATGTAATATATGCTATTCAGAAGACGGGTCAGTATCAATGATGATCCCAAATTGGCAAAGAATCCCCGTGTAGCTGGAGTAACTACGCCTACTCAAACATATTACCTTCGGCACGTCATTGCCGTGAGGCAGTCGACATTATATCTTTGATTGCGACGATCTATTAGAGCAAGGTTTGGTCATCTCCTCGGGCGAAGTATCTTTTAGGGCAGGTAGTATTTGCCGATGGTCGCCACAAACAATAATATTATGTTTTGAAATTGTTTCGCTGAGCTGTTTATGATATTAGTGAAGGGTATTTCTACCATCTTCCGCATGCATTGATCTTACTCGCATAGCTGACGCACTTACTGACTTATTTGCATAGCTACTGACTGACAGAGTGGTGTAGATCCTTTCCGAGTGGCATTTTCTGGTTCCAATATGAATGACGAACATAGGAAGCCACATGGCTGTAGGCTGATTATCTGATCGTATATATCTTAGTCTTGAATCGAATAGTAGCTCATGTACATTAGACAAAGTACTTTCGCTGCCTACTTTTCGGCTCGGCGTGCTATTCGATGTGATCGTGCATATGTTGTGAGGTCGTTAATGAGTGTATATGCCACGCGCTCGTGATAGCTAGAACATATGCATAGGGTCAATGTCGCTTGCTCGGTACATTTGCGTCGTCGTGCTGGCTTACGGTGCTTACGCTTCTGATGTATCAGTCGATATGACCAGGCGCGTCACTCACTGGACAACGGTCATACCGCAGAGATACAGGCTAGATGACCGCGTATCGGTTAGCGATTTATACGCGCGCGGCGGGAACACCTTATAATCATTATCTCGACCATTATGGACAGGGCGCTAAAGTAAAGTACTGCGTACAGACACATCTCCTTGCGATGGCCGCTTGTATGGTCATCACTACCGCATACGTGGTTGTGTCCATGTAGACAGCAGCTTATTCATCGCGCATAGTGCTCACTCAATACTGAAGCTTACATTCGAAAGCGCACATTAGTGAAATATAAACTGTGAGGGTTGGTGGTACAGATAGCATGGGTTTGCGTGTGCCAAGTGAGCAAGTGTATTTTTATCTACGGTAACGCGTATGCAGATAGGGATGGCCAGCTTGCAAGGGTACGCAGTAGATATTATGCGCTAATTATTATATGAAACGCGCTACGCTCTGTAGGTGCGTCAGCACTATTGGCAGCACCATTGTCA